GCCCCTCTCTGAGTTCCTTTTTGCATGACTTGAGTTTCTGGCAGCTGACAAAAATGGCGCCATCGCTTTATGGCATACAATGGTTTCGGCAAGGGAATGCTGCCTCATGTACCAAGGAGGAGGAGTGCCTTTTCGGTTACTAGAAGCTCAAAAGTTCTTTCTGAAGCCAACCTGCGCTTGCACAGTCCCAACGTGTGCCTGCACAGAAAACAACTTGAGGAACAACAATTTCAGGTAAGTGCGATCCTTTTTCCCCGCCTCCCCTCTACACAGTAGCCTTCTGAGCCCTTCAGAATTCTGTCCCTGATGGTCAAGGGATGCTTAGCTATAATGTGGAGGCAAACAGGAAGAGGAAATTGACAAAAATCAGTCTTATCTCCTCTGCCAATGGATGGTTGTTCTACCACAAAACAACCGTTATTGCTGGCAGAATGTACCAAACACAATGGGTTGGGTCCAGCTGGATTGTGCAAAGCAATCTAATCTAAAGCTCCTGAATATATCCAACTGAAACCAGACTCTTCAGACAGAGACACATTGAGGACTCCACTTCCCCCATCATAATAATTACACTCGCTGTTGTTTTTGGTTAATTAACAGAGGATCCCATCTTTTGACAAGACAAAAGTAAATGGTAAATTGGCTAAGAGTGAACAAATTGAAACTAAACCCTGAAAAGAAAGAGGTAATGCTGGTCGGGAAGGCAGAGGTCTCAAAGGACTTCGTGCTCCCCACTTTTGGTGGAATTCAGCTGACTCTCACCCACCCAGTTAAGAGCTTTAGGATTATACTGACTCAACAGTATTACTGGGAAAGCAAGTTAATGCAGTGGCAAAAAAAGGATTTCTTCCAACTCAGACTAGCCTGAAAGATGGTCCCTTACCTTGATACAGCAAATCTGGCCACCTGGATCCACGCCACAGCAACATTGAGACTAGACTACTGCAATGCACCATACATTGGTCTCCCTGGTTCCAGATAACAGAGTAATCCTTATGCCTTACCTCTCCCATTTACTAAATCAGGACTACAGAAGAATGTTTACATTGATGCGTTGGGATGTACTCCCATCTGCAGTCCTGGAAGGAACATTTAACAAGACTCCGTATGAAGAAAGGATATGCCCCTGTTGTGCGGATGATATTGAGTCTATAGAACATGTAATTTTTTAATTGTAAAGCATACAATAACATCCGAGAATCTCTTCCTTTCTCTAAGAGACTCCCACTCTCTCGCAGGCAAAGAATCTGCCTATTAAGAAATTTGCTAAAGGATAGGTGGGCAGAAGTTAATCATCAGGTTTGGATGGCTTGCCCTAAAAATTAGAAAATCCGTAGTAGCTTGAAAAGAGGAGAACTAAGATTTAGTTTTATTAATTTTAATTATTATGGTTTTATGGTGTTTTTATAACCAGTTTTAAAATTCTGCTTCTATTTTAATGTGATATCTATCATCCACATTACAAAATGACATTGGTATACGTGTTGGTCAATGACCATGAATAAAATTTATCTATCTACCTTGGTCTTCCCTCAAAATGAAGTGACTCTAGTTGGTGAAGAATGCTGTGGTTCAGCTACTATTGGGAGCCAGACAGAACACACATATTGGTCTCATTCTGCAGGCACTTCATTGGCTACCCATTAATTACTGGGCTCAATTTAAGGCCTTAGCTATCACATGCAATGCCCTTCATGGCCTTGGACCCTCCTATCTGAAAGACTGCCACCCTCTGCCAAAACAGGTCTGCTCATCAGAGCGGGGTCTTCTGCAGGTGCCAACCTGCAAATGGGCAAAATCAACCTCAGTCCATGGACACACTTCTGTTGCAGCCCCCCACCATGTGGAATGGTCTGCCCGAGGGGGTCCGGAAGGCTCTCACTCTCCTGGCTTTCCGCAAACTGTGCGAAACTGAATTGTTCAAGAGGGCTTTTCTACACAGGCAATAGAGTTGTGCTGGACTAAATGAGTCACAAGTCTACTTGGATCAATGAGCAGGGATTGTGGTCTGTCCTGCTATGTATTGGATCCTACTGTGGAATTTTGCATCATTTAATGTGTCATGCTAATACTTAAACTTTGCTTCAGTTCTGTTTTTAGACCTGGTTGGTTGCACAACCCAAATTGTGTATTGAATGTCCCATCCATCGATTCCACTGATTCACTCTGTGTAATCCACCTCAGGTCTCTGTGAGAAGGGGGGGGGGGCTATGAATAATGCAATTTTTAAAAATAAATAAAAATAAGTAGGATTTTCCATCTTTTTTTCTGAGTAGAAAAACCCTGACTGTTCCCTGGAAGGCCAGATAATGAAACTGAAGCTCAAATACTTTGGCCACCCAATGAGAAGGGAGCACTCACTGGAGAAGACCCTGATGCTGGGAAAGATTGAAAGTCAAAGAAGACGGGGACGGCAAAGGATGAGATGGTTAGACAGTGTCATAGATGCAATGAACATGAAGTTGAGCAAACTTCAGAGGACGGCGGAAGACAGGAAGGCCTAGCATGATCTGGTCCATGGGGTCGCGAAGAGTTGGGCTCGACTGTGCGACTGAACAACAAAGAAAAACACATGAACCAATCTCACCACATAAGTGAATACCAGCTCATGCTGTTGGGAGATGAATGTTCACGTGCTTTCCTGTATTAAAAGAACCCTTCCTGTATAGAGAAAGAGAAAGGTATTTTTAAAAGTACCTGAGGCCATACGTACCTGTGAATGAAAGCTGGAAGGGTGCTTTGGAGGACTGCGGAGGTGAGCTCAGCTTTGTCTACGGGCCTGTTTGCTTCCCACCTGGTCTACCTGGAACAGAAATGGCAAAAACACCACAAGTCTCCAATAATTTAAAAGTGCAGTCCTATGCAGAGTTGCCTATTGATTTCCATGGACTCGACAAGAGTAACTCTGCATCAGATTGGCTGTCAATCCAGCAAAACAGCCCTAAAGTCCCTACCAGTCAAGGGCAAATTTAAATGGTGACACAGAATGAGGGATACGTCAGATCCTATATAGCAGAGATCAGGTGGTTAAAAGTATTGAGTAGGCAATATTGTATTGCCGCTGTATTGCTGCTCACAAGAGGGTTTTTCCCAGGTGACATGCGGCAATGCCCCCGCTTTCTTCAGGAGCTTCCACACTATGCTGTACTTACTCTTTCCGAGCAGAGCTTGTGGTGCAGAGCCTCCGTGTGAAAGTTCAACATGCAGCAGGAGATGCAGTAGAAGATGAATCAATGCCAAACCAGCAACTTAAGATGATAAAATTTTTTAGCTGTAATAAATACTAAATTCAAAATGAGACGCCAAACCATTCTCAGTTATCCAATGGGTTTACTGTCATTGGCCAGAACAATGGGAGGTGGGAGCCAATGTACTTTACTGATTGGATGGGACACTGCCTGCCCACTTTTCCTTGTGTCTCTACAAATAAAAAGGCCAGAGACTTACTTCTTTAAAAATAAAGAAAATTCAGAGAAGGGGCTGAAATATTCTTGAGGGGCCAAAACCTTATAACACCCCCCCCAAAAAAAATCTAAATCCTTGAATAAATGGTGGGGCTGTAAAAGAGTAGCTTACTGATTGATCTACAGGGGTGTGTGTGTGTGTGTGTGTGTGTGTGTTATATGTGTGTCTATTTCATATTTGATCCGACTCTTAAGATTTATTGGTTTTGATTGTAGGCATGGTTAATGGTTGAATTGTAACCATACTACCTGTAGTATTATTCAGTAGAAAAACAGACTTTCTATTTTAATATACATAAATGATTGAACATGCATTTGTAGAGATTTCATTGCAGGCAATGTAATTCACCTAAACACGGACATTAGCTTTAATTAGCTTTAATGTATACGTTAGTTTATATCTCAGATATTTTAAACTTTTAACACATTAACACATGACTTTGGAAGCAACAGCATATGACAAGAGGGCTGAGAAGTGATAAGATAGGTTGGAATCATATCAAAGGTGCAAAGGACTAAAACCAGGTCATTCATCTCCTATACAGTGTAGCCAACCACCAGCCCCACCTCGAGACTCAGACCTTCTGCTGTGGCACAAAGTGTTCCGGGAGGGAGCCCCTGGGCCCCAGTCTCCCCCCTCTGGCTCCCAGGATTGCTGCCTCCTCACAGCCTGACAGCACTACCTTCCTCCTCCTCATTGGCCTCACTCTGGCTCCAATTTACCCAAGGCTGGGGCTCACCCCTCCTCCCTGGGCACCAATTATCCACCCTCCATCCACCTGGAGGCCCTGCCCACTTGGACATGCCCCTCCTACACTTGGGCAATTCACTTTCCCCATCCCTGCCTCCAGGGCTCTGTCCCTCTCATCCATCCCAAGCTATTTGGAAGGCCCCTTCCCTGGGTCTTCATGCACAGGTGGCCAGGCGCTGTGCCATGGCCCGGCTAGTGAGCTTGGCCCCACCCTCGAGGGTGTGCTCAACTCTGCCAGGCAACTGCCCCTAGAGGTACATCCTGGCCAACTTCAGGCAAGGAGGCTGGGTGCCTGAGTGCTGTTGGGCCTTCCCTGTCTGGCTAAGGCAGCAGGCGTGTCTGTCCCCAGGCCACTGGTGATGTGGGATAACCCCTCATGCCTATAGCTAGATTATTTTGGTGGGGAGGCAATTTTTTTGTTTGTTAAGGGGACAGTTTAGCACCATGGTTTTAAAATAAACTTTGGGACCCCGCAGGAAGGAGGAAGGCAGGGGCACTCTTGCTTTGAGCTGCAGCCAGCTCTTAAAGCATTTAGAAATTCATTAAAATAATATTTTTAGTTCTGTAGTTTAGATCCTTCCACGTTTCACCAGTCTCCCTTACCGCTGCCTTCCCAGCTGGTCCTCATTGCTCGGCCAGCCCTGTGGCCCAAGTGTTTCCCTCAGGCGACAGAGGAGAAAGAGGTGAGGAGTCAGAGCCCACCACCGAGGCCACCGAAGAGAGAGAGAGAGAGAGAGAGCGCAACATGTCCCTCAAACAGTTGCCTGCTGCCGGCTGTCTTCATCTCAGCCGCTGCCACCTGCCTCGGCCCGCTCTGCCTGCTCCACTGCCAACTGTTTCCGGGAGGGCTCCAGGGCCTGGGCTGCAGCTGCCATGGCCTGCCAACTGGGCTGCCTCCTGTTGCAGCAGTGGTGGTGGTGGCAGCTGAGGCAAAGACGACAATTAAGACAGCGGCTGTGGGGCTGTCACTGTGACTGCTGGTGGTGGTGGCAGCTGAGGCGACTGCTTGAGGGACATGCCACTCTCTATTTCCAGAGAACTGGGTTTGATTCCCCACTCCTCCACTTGTAGCTGCTGGATGACCTTGGGCAAGCTATAGTTCTGTCACGGCTGTTCTCTCAAAGACAGTTCTGGAAAGAGCTCTCTCAGTCCCACGTACCTCACAGGGTGTCTGTTGTGGGAAGGGGAAGGAGTTTGTAAGCCGCTCTGAGACTCCGAGTGAAGGGCGGGATATAAATCCAGTCTCCTCCTCCTCCTTTTCCTCCTCCTCCGCCACCTTGCCTCTTTCTCCTTCGCCAACTGAGGGAAACACCAGGGCCACGGGTCTGGCCGAGCAACGAGGATGAGCTGGGAAGGCAGCAGTGAGGGAGCAGGCAGAGGCACCCTGGGCAAAGGAGATAGAGGTGAGGCGTTGAAGCCTGCGGCAAAGGCCGCTGGAGAGAGAGGGTGTCGCTCTTGGGTGAGGGGGCAGGGCAAATTCGGGAGGGGGGCACCCTTGTCAGCCCCCTTGTGACTATGGGCCTGGCCCCAGGCGACCTCGCCCCAAGAGGTAAGGCCAGGGTTGCCAACTCTGAGTCGGGGGGTGGAGCCTCAGCACGGCAGGGTCTGGGGAGGGGAGGGGCCTCAGCAGGGTAGAGCCCATCTTTCAACGCACCCATTTTCTTTAAGGGAACCAATCTCTGTCCTCCGGAGATGAGTTGTGATTCCAGGAGATCTCGAGGCCCCACCTGGAAGCTTACAGTCCTAGCCTCACGCAGGGCTCTTTTTGTACCAGGTACTCATTTGCATATTAAGTGACACACCCCTAATGTAGCCAATCCTCCAAGAGCTTACAGTAGCTCCTGTAAGAAGAGCTCTGTAAGCTCTTGGAGGATTGGCTACATTAGGGGGTGTGGCCTAATATGCAAAGGAGTTCCTGCTACAAAAAGAGCCCTGTGCCAGACCAGGTTCCACAGTCCAACGTAAAAGGCTACCGTGAATATGACCCAGCTTTAATTTGGGGTTCAAAAGTAGCTGTTTCAGCAGGGTAGAATTCTGAACACAACCAAAGTCCAGCAATCACTTCTCAGGGGTGCTCTCGGCTGATCCTGCATTGAGCAGGGGGTTGGACTAGATAGCCCGTATGGCCCCTACCAGCTCTGTGTGATTCTACCCTTTTGATGTTAATGGGAATAGTTTCAATTCAAAAGGACTTTAAAGACAGTGACTACCTTTGGATGTATTGGATTCCATCATCTTAGACAGCACAACTATTGGGTATTTTTATAGTCTTAATCAGGGGTTGTTTCGTAGAAAAAGAGCTAGGGGAACTCATTAGCATAACTCATTAGCATATGCCACACCCCCTGACATCACCAGAAGTGTGTCATAAGGCCACACACCCCGCCCCCAACGGTCCCGGCCGGCGGGAGTGCAAGGAAGTCCCGCGAAGGCCCTCCCTGGCCCCAGGCAGGCAGGGGTGGGGAGAGGTAGGGACGAAGCAACTTACCCTCCCTCTTCTCCTCCTGGCTGAATGAGGGCCGGAAGCGGGGCAGCCGGAAGCAGGGGGTGGGGCTTTGTCATGTGCCCCGCCCCTGTACCTCACCCGGGGGAACTGCGACCCCCCGTGATCCCCCCGAAATGACCTCTGCTCTTAATGAAAAGGTTTCTCCTGATTGATGTTTCTTCTTTCCTCTTCCTGGGTCTTCACCTGGGTCTTGCATTAGTCACATGAGTGATTCGATGCGAATAGAAGTCACTATATGCTTGACATGATAGTATCATTGGAGATCAGTAAACAAGAAGCATTTGAGTCAATATACACTACTTTAATTTCATTTCCTTCATTTATACCCTGCCTTTCTCCTCAGTGGAGACCCAAAGCAGCCCACATGGTTGTCTCTCCCAATGTATCCTCACAACAACCCTGCGAGGTAGGCTAGGTTAAGAGTGTGGAACTGGCCTACAGTTACTTAGTGAGTTTCCACGACAGAGTGGAGATGTGAACCCGGGTCTCCAAGACCCTAGTCTGACACTGTAAACCTCCGGCCGCCACTGGCTCTCAATCCAATACCATTCCCTGATGATGTCTCTGAGGACCAATGAGGGCAACTGCGAAGGAGGGCAAATGAGGATGGATTAATTGAATAGACAAGTGTTTTCACAAGGAATGCCTTAATAAAAACAGTGAGGTGGGAGGCTTTGGTCGCTGTGCCAAAAATATTTGCTAAGAACTGAGATAAGCTTCAGATCCGGCCTAACCAAATAAGCAGGTTATAGATGAATAATGTTTTCTTTTTTCATCCACTTGAGGACTCCTGCGGGACAAAATGCTTTTAAATGACTCAAAGAGGACAGCATGGCTGTTGTCACTGAAAATAAATTCATTTGGAAACATTGCTGGAATCCCTGGAAATTCGAGAGGGTGAAAATGTGCATTAAAATATGTCAGGATTTAAGCCCAGGAAACTCCACATCGCCGATTCTGATTCTAGTTTAGGAATAAGATGATGAAAGTCTAATTATGCAGCAGAATTACCCATTGAACACAACGGAGAGCAACGGAGGACTGGATTGCTTGTCTTTCCCCACCTTGTCCTCAACCCAGTGACAGGGAACAGCTGGGCAGAATTTCTGAGTGCCTTTAATGAATTGAATAGTTCATTGTTAGGATTTGGTGATTAAATGCAAAAAGACTAATATTCCTGTGTGGATTTGCTGAGAGACGACTGCCCTGAAAGGCAGGCAGAGCTGGAAAAAAATAAGTCACATGGCCTACCTGGGGGGAGTGAACTACTCAGAAATGCAGAGCATTTAGTGTTTCTATTTTTAAAGTGATTCCAATTACTCCAGCATTTTTTAACTCGCCAGCCTCAGGATAAATGCTGCTTCCTTTCATTTCCATCTCTGGCATAGAAAATCCGTACAAATGAACTTGTGTCGCAACAAATTCAGTTTGCTGTCAAAACTTTCTCCAGCAGCCTGATGAAATCAATTCCAAAACCCCAAGAGGCACTCCGGGGAAGCACCATGTGACACAAAGTCTTCCAAATAAGGGGAAGAAAAGGCTTCCAGCCAACATCTGATAGCCAAAAAAAAAAAATTATTTCCAAGCCCCCGTCATCCCAAAATTTCAGTACTTCCATATTCCTTCCAACAATGCTACAAGACGATGAAGAAGCATCTGTGTCTTAATACACAGTGTGCGTCTAGGTTTTAGGATGACCAGGTTAGCCCAATTTAATCAGATCTGATAAGCTAAGCAGGGTCAACCCTGGTTAATATTCAGATGGGAGACTACCTGGGAAGTCCCGGGTTGCTCACTACACAGAAGCAGGCAATGGCAAACCACCTCTCTTCATCTCTTGCCTTGGAAACACTACAAGTTTGTTGTAAGTTGACTGAAACTTGATAGCCCCTCCCCTTACCCATACATTCAACTGAGGTTTCTGTGTAGCTGTGGTGACAGTTTAATGTATCCTCTGGTTAGACGTGGACCCTTTCATCCAGTAGACAGGCATCTAGTGTAGATATGTATTCAGCTACAGATGCACACAGAGATACTCCTTCATTCTCCCCAGGTGCTGTTGTTGCTGACCGTGCAGTTTCAGGGATGGCCTGGGAGGCCAAAGGCGTAGTGGAAAGGGGCCACACCCTCTCTGACCACCACCCCTTCTTCACTGCTGGAGGGCCAACTCACCAGCAGGAGATGAAGGAGGCATGTTGTGTTCCTCCTCAATGGCCTTACTGCACAGGCGACCCGGAGGGCAAAGTTAGGGGCTCCTAATAAAAACATAAGAACATAAGAGACGCCAGTGTTGGATCAGGCCAAAGGCCCATCCAGTCCAACACTCTGTGTCACACAGTGGCCAGAAATACCAGGCGCCATTGGGAGGTCCACCAGTGGGGCCAGGACATTAGAAGCCCTCCCACTGTTGACCCCCCCAAGCACCAAGAAGACAGAGCATCACTTGCCCCAGAGCCTCTATCTATACCTTGTGGCTAAGAGCCACTGATGGACCTCTGCTCCATATGCTTATCTAATTCCCTCTTGAAGCCGTCCATGCTTCTAGCCGCCACCACTTCCTGTGGCAGTGAATTCCATGTGTTAATGACTCTTTGGGTGAAGAAGTACTTCCTTTTATCCGTTGTAACCCGACCGCTCAGCAATTTCATGGAGTGCCCACGAGTTCTTGTATTGTGAGAGAGGGAGAAAAGTACCTCTTTCTCTACCTGCTCTATCCCATGCATAATCTTATAAACCTCAATCATGTCTCCCCTCAGTCGTTGTTTCTCCAAGCTCCTCTTCATTGACTCTATGGAGGTGGGGCGCTCAGGGCAATACTCTCAGGATAGTTCACAGTAAAATAGCCACTCCACCCTGGGCATCCCAGAAATACAATCACACAAGTTATGTCAGAAGGAATTGTATTTTATTTCTGAAAAAAAGCATACATGTGCCATACCACGGGAATGGGGCTACAACCATAGCTGGACTCCTGCACTAGGTCTGAATTGAACATGAGGTGTGCCTTCCCTGGCCCTGCACAAGCACATACCATGCTTGAGTTTGAGTTGCACACGAGACTCAAAACACAAGAGGAGCTGGACGGTGAGGAGCATGTTTAATTTTGTGACCATTCTCATTTCTGTTTCCTGGTGAGGGACCTGATCCATCTGTGCCCTTGCATGCTGCTCATGCTCTTATTTCCATCATCCTCACTGGCACTCAGCATGTTGAGCATCACGTGGGGCATCACAAGTGAAGGACTGTATGCTTCTTCATATTTTCTCAGCTCCCCGCCGACCCTGTCACACCTTCCAGTAGTAGTGACCAAGTTGGTCTTTGTTATGGCATGAGTTGCAAGTGGTCAGTAAGGCAATATGAACAAACAAGTGTGCTGAAAGACATGCTGCCGTTACAGAGGAAGCCTGGGAAAGCAGAA